GAAAGACATAATATGTAATCTGAAGAAGCCTACAATAAAATAAGAAAAAGAAAATTATCCTTGAGAACAAAAGACTGTTTTAATGTGTCTATTTTCATTTGAAAAAGAAGCATACATTATAGTATTCGTCAGGGTAAACATCTCATTGATATAACAAATACGGAAGGAAGAACCCGAATACTTTTGTATAACCAACACATAAAAAGACAAGATTTAGAAAGAATAAAAAATCCTGAAAAATATAAACATATATATCTTTGGAAAAATTCAAATTTTAATTAAGGCATACTTCCGTAAAGAAATTGATAGTCCTATAACTATCTGGATATACGATGATAGAATTATACATTCTAAAAAAGATGTCTTACTAGGAGTTATACAAAAGAATAATTCTATCAAACTCAAATGTTTAATTTATATCCTAACCATGCAGTTAATATCAATGATCGACATTTAGATAGATCTCTTACACTGCGACACAAATTAGACGGAATAAAATTAAGAGAAGGCAGTGTTGTTTACAACACTACTTATCAAACCGCATACGTATACAGTTATCAATACAATATTGTAGCGTTTAAACCACATACAGACTTAATTCACTTAGACCCTCTCTTTTCTCATATAGGTCAAACCATTCAACCCAAAGAAATTAATGAACTAGAAATAACAGCACCCTCATCAAATCTTCTCCTTGACTTTGATAATGATAAAAATCATAGAAGTCAAAGACATCCAAAACTCAATTTCATAGAAAATAATAATTCTCTTTTCATACAACCAAGACGGTCTCTCGATACGAGCATTATTCGATCTATTTTTCTTAGAGCATCTCCAAATATAAGAGAATATAATAATAATCAATTATTAGTAACTGATTATTATATCTCTCCAGAAAGAATATAGATAAAATCTAATATCAATAAATTTACAAACGCTAAAAGATACTCCATACATCTACCAAGATTATCTTGGACAAAAACACTTCTGTACTCATGAAGCTAATATACTTATTGGATTTTGGGATATAAATAATCACCGAATTGATTTCTAACATCTATTTCTAACTGATGACAAAAATTCAAATCATATTTTAGTAGGAATGAATTTTCTCCAACAATATACTATAACAATTTACACATAAAACCGTCAATATAGATAATTATACCTTACCACGAAATGCGGTTTCATAGCTATACTACTGTCGAATTATATACCCCTACATACGAACTTACTCCAATACATGTTTTATGTGATACAGGTAGCGATATCACCGTACCTAAAAAAATTATAATTCAACCAAAAATACCAATTCATTCTGAAGAATTATTACTCGAAACATTTAATAGTCTTCATGCAATAAATGAATATTGGACTAACAAATTCTTTGTAATTCAATCCGCCCTTCCTAAAATACATAAATTATGGTGTAGCTCCAAAAATTGCCCTGATTTAATTCTTGGAAATTATTTCTTTAAAACCTTATTATCATTTACTCAATCTGAGAACGAAATTACTTTGATCACCCCCAACAATTATCCACTTAAATGCCCAATAATTAAAACTCCACAAATTCATTCCACCACATCAATTTTCTACAACCAACGTGGTGATTATACTTTTAACCAAAACATGAAAGCTGCTTTCCCTCATATCTACACTTAAGGATATATAATGCACTTTCTCCTGAAAATTCCAAACTTACAAAACTTACTAAATCAATGGAATGTTATGCTCTTTGGATTAAAAAATACCTCATAAATATTTCAGAAATGAATTAAAACTATCTATAGTGAATTATCAAACTTTTGTCTTATATACGTAGATGATATCCTAATATTTAGTCAAACCATCACCGAGCATTAAAACATTTAGCTTTGTTTTCTTAAAAAACTCAGAAACATGTAATAGTATTAAGCAAAAGGAAAGTCGTCGTCTTAACCAACATTATTGAATTTCTAGGACTTATCATATATAAGAGTGCAATTAAACTATAAGAACATGTTTTAACAAAAGCTGATCATTTTAAACAAATAAATAGTCAAAAAGATTTGCAGCGCTTTTAGGATGGATCAATTATGCTGAAACATTTATAAAAAAACTCGCAAAATTAAAAGCTCTGTTACAAAAGAAATTACGAAAAAATATGATTTGTATTTGGGATGAAAATGATCAAAAGATTTTACAGCAGATTAAGAATCTATGTAAAAATCTTTCAAAACTACATTTACCAATCATTGATGATTATTTAATTATAGAAACTAACACCATTGAATTAGCATGGGTGCAATTTTAAAAGCTCGACGTAATAATACTGAACTTTTATGCAGATAAAGTTCATGTACATACACAAAAATTGAACAAAACTATCATATTAATGAAAAAAAATTATTAGCCATAAAGAAAACTATTAAGAAATTTGAAATATTATTAAATGAAATATTTTTACTTAAAGCTGACAATAAACAGATTCGTTACCTAATAAAAGACTAATTAGATGACAAAATTAGTTCTCTATTTATACTTTTGATTTAGAATATATAGAAGGAAATCAAAATGTTTTAGTTGATATTCTAACATGCGAATTATACAGGAAAAAAATATGGATATTAAAAGTATGAAAACTTATGATATATCCAGCGAAGCTGAAGATAAACCCAATTTAGACATATATGACTACTTAGAAATTGTTGACTTATAAATCTGGAAGTTAGAATGCGAGATTTTCTTTGGCAATATCATTCTAAAAGAATTATTTAAAGTAAAAAATTATCTCACCATAGAAATAACAGATGGTGAGCTACCCTCGATATATGAACTAAGAAAAATTAGAGATTTTAAAAATCTCAAAATTACAAAAGAAAAATCAAAAGAAAAAGCTTCTTCAGTTACTGAATTACAAAATTTCACTGCAAAAGAACCATCTTCCTCAAAAAAAATGTCTACATATGCTAAAATACTACAAGATACATCTACAAAGACAATCACAGAAATAACTGAAGAATGACGACAACTATCACTCTATAAGAAAAGAATTAACCTCCAGATTTATTTCCATAAAACAGGAAAGTATCAAGTTGTTTATATTTATGTAAATACTTATTTAAATCTTGTTTCAGAATTATACAAATGTGGTTTAATCCGCATGATATATTTAGAAGATGAAAGTCTTCTAAGAGAATTACCAAAATCAATATTTGAATCAGTGGATACCTTCCACCATGCTGTCAAACATTAGAATTTATACATCAAATTATATCAAACTTATTCTGAGATAACATGAAGAGTTATTTCTCTTATACAGCTTGAAGTTAGTAGTGAGTCATTTACTCGGAAATACAAACCTACAAAATTACTACATTAGAGATCTACTGCTGAAAACTCAAATCAAATATGGAACAAAGAAATTTGATTCATCAAATATTTTGGTATATTACTGCTCCGAACAATTATTCATATATAGTCATTGTAAACAGCCGACAAGGAAAATATATGAAATAATGTATAAAAAATTGATGTCTATCCTAAGTAAGAACAACATAGTTGTTAGCAAAGAGATTAAAGAAATATTTGTCAGAAATTACAAAAAGCGAAAATACATAAATGTATGTACTGCTAGAATAAAGATATTATACAGAGAATACGAGACAAACTCGAAGCCAAAAATAGTGGAACCCAGCTGTAAAAAAAGGAATATGATGTAAACATGCTAACTCACCGGATTATTATCAACCAGAAAAATAGTGGAAGCCAGTTGTAAAGAAATAAATCTGCTGTACACATGCCACCTTACTGAATTATTATCAACCAGTGTTGAAAGCAATAAAGAATTTAGTCACGTACATCAATTATATCTTCCACTTGCAAAAAATATTCTAAACCAGTAAAGCATCAATTATATCCTCTACTTAATACATCAACAATGAAGAAAATGTATTTCTCTCATGCCTATATATTGCTCTCTTCTCTTTTGAGGGGTTGAGCGAAAGAAGTCAATATTTTACTTCTTCTTCTGTCTACCTCTCCTCTAGTAATCTAATTATGTGTGTTTGGCACTGCGGCTAAGTAAACTTTTCTTGTTCTATGTCTGTAAGTATGTTTTAATGTATTGAAGGTTCTTATGTTTTTTTTATTTATTTTGTTTAAATAATACTATATTATTTTGATTCTGCTTCTAGCTACGCTTAGTGTAGGAAATGAATTAAAGATGTGTTTTGAATCTCCGAAGTATTTACATAGGGTTATGGTCTGTTATGAATTCGAATGATCTTGTTGAGTCCTAATTTTTTTCAAAAATCCACGAAGAAAAGTATAAAATGAACCGGATATTTTAAGGTCAAACCCTAAAATAAGAAGAATCAAAGTAAGATAATATTATATTAAACTCTCAAAAGGAAGCTTGATGGACACAAATATTTTAGAACATACAAATAACACTAGAGTGAGAAGATTTTGTTAATTATAGAAGATGATATAAACAAATTAGAAATAGGAATAGGAAATTTAAAGAAAAAAAGTTAGCAATGATATCAAAGAAATAGAATAATTAGAATACAAAATAAAATACAATTTATTATTACAAAAATGATATATGCAACATTATGATTTTTTTTAATTCTTTTACAAAAGTGTGCATCTTGTTATAGTCATCCTCTAACTAAAAGAACAGCATAATGGTGCGTATAATATGTAATCAACTATTGCTTTCCAAAAAACAGAAACTTATAGGGGAAATTTACATATATACCACACAAATCAATTGTACTCACATGCTAACACCTAAAGTTTGGTATTTATATTTATAACACTTTGGTATCTTGAACCTATGCATGAAAACGTGTACTTCACATCCAAAAAGTTCATAGCAGTGGTACTTTTATATGATATTAAAGATTAGTTTTATGTGTTTAAATATGAAAGTTTAAGGAGTTAGATATGTAAATACATGAGAGTTGTGTTATGTATGTAAATGCCACATATTTTAAGCAAAAAATCAATACCAAGCGTTTGTGAGTGGATGGATCTGTATCCAAAATGAGTAAAATGTGATTCCCATTGGTCCAAGAACCACATACTACTCTCTCATTATGCCATCCCTGCAAAAAAAGAAAAAAAAAATGAAATGAAATGCACAATACTCAACAAAGGCTTTCCAAATATGAAGGATTTCAAAAATAGTTACAAGAACAGAGACCTTGAACCGAATTCCCCTCTCGTAGTCCTGGTGGAACTTAAGGTGAACCTGGTCGTCCTCTTCTACTCCACGAGCATACATCAGTCCACATAAAGAACAAGCATAAAGCATGAAAACGGATTGTCTCAAATCCAAATAATATTGTTCATATCTTCTTTTCTTACTGAAATTTCCGCTTTGATTTGACGAGCAGCCGTTCTTCTTGTGCTCGCAAAAAAGTTCTGATGGCTTAAGCTCCACAATCACTGATGAGAATAAAGCCATTGCATATCCTTATCAGGGAAACCCAAAAGGAGATTCAAGCCTGAGTGGGCATGGATCATAAGCTGAGTATCGCTTTGGATGGAAACTGGAATCCTTGAAAGCTAATTTCATGGGGGGATTGCATCCACCACTCCAGAGAGAAGAATCCAAGGATATATCTCCTTCGGAAACGGATGTAGCTGTTGGGAGGGTTGGCAAAAAGAGCTGGCCTTGGGTTGTGGCATTTCATGGGGGCTGTCTGAAAACGGATTTAGAGCAGGATTTAACCTAAATCTTGCCAACCGGTCAATTTGGACAAAATAAATAAGGATTTCAAGGATTTCGGCCGTAAATCCAGGATTTACTCAATCATGTGAATCAGCCGATTCAGTATATCCAGGATGGGATGTTAAGTTACCTTACTCAATGGTTTCGGGTGGGAGCAGAGCTGAAAGAGGAGAAAGATGGGAGTTTGGGGTCTCTGTACGCCGCGATCGCGTCGTTGCATTCCTACTTAACTCTAATCGCGACGGGTTGGTCAGGAAGGCGGTGGTTTTGGGTGAAACCGGAAGGGGGGTGGCGGAGGCGGGGAAATAAGCGGGGATTTTGGGTAGAGAGGAGAAGTTTGGCCGCGAAACCGGGAGGGGGAAAATGGTGGCGTGGGGTAGGGAAGGAGAGTTTGGGCTATTTATTTATTTTTATTTAAATGAATTTTATGAATTTAATTGATTGATAATTAAGAATTAGTTTATACATTACAAAATTAATTATGATTATATAAATTTAAATATAATTATTTACTATTGCTTAATGAATAAAAACAAATTTAAATTTAAAATAATTTAATAACATTCTAAGTAATTGTTAACTAATATGTTAATCATTAATTAATATTAAATTATTATTTAATAAATAATTAGTTTAATATTATTTTTAATAAAAATTAAATAGTTTAGTAAATAATTAAATATCAATTAATATAATTAAAAATAAAAGTTTATTTTATTTTAATTTAATTTAAAAATATTTTTTTATCATAATAATAAAATAATCGAAGTTACATAACAATTTTTAACTTCTGACTGGGGTTGACAAACAGTTTGACGGGATCTAAGTAGATTTCTTAAATCTGTTTCCAAACATTTTTTTGGGATTTAACCATTTCTAGATTTACTACATCTGGATTTGCAGAATTTATTAAATCTTACTTAAATCTAATCAATTCCCATACAAACCCTTAAGGTTTTTCTTCTATTAAGTTGACAACATACAAAAGGACTAAAACATAGCGAGCTAGGAAGAGGAGCATAAAGTTGGCGAACGAGTGATCCGAGATGAAAATCTATATAAGTTTTTCATGGATGTGTTCCCGCCTCATTATACAAACTAAATGTTGTGAAGCACTGACAAATCATGAAAATATATGTGTTATCCAAATATTATACGGAACATAGTCGACATATTATCCCTCAAAAGTGGACATATTATCCCTCAAAAAATAGATGAATTTCCAAAGTGCAAAAATTTTAGTCTGTTGCTTTCGAGTCTAGCCTAAAAGCTTCAAATTTTGTGATTTTTTAAAAGTATCTAAACATTTTATTTTGTCTGCAAGACTTTAAACCTATGAACTAAGTATTCATATTTTAATCAAGTGAGAACAGCTCCCTTGAATTGGACCTAACATACTAGCTCTATCCATGTAACACTATTTTTGTTGACAACCAAGAACAATATTATTTCTTAGCTCCTCACAATAGTTTTAAAACATATTGGTGTTACTTATTATAGTTAGTTCCCTATCCATACTAAAACTTCCATGTTTCCGCATTTTCATATGCAGTTGCACTTCTCTAGCAGCAAAATCTCAATTCTCCTAAAGAATTATATGTTAAATTAATCGTGTCACCAGCCTACTCCTACAATATTAAGTCACTATCGGTTTTAAAGGTTGAAAGTAAATGAAAAGAAAAAAAGTTAACATATCAACTTACTACGCACAAATTCTCAATCACAGTTCAAGGATAGTACTAAAATGCATAGCTTACCAATTCAAGAAAGCGTGAATTTTAGTTGACACTCATTGAAAGAAAACACAATGAAAATTCATTTCAAATTCGAAGCAAATAAAATTTAGAAAATTTTACTAAATTAATCTACTAAACTGAACTTCTGAGATTTCCCCACTCTAAGTGCACAACAATCACAATCCCACTTTCCAAACTCACTTGACCTCACTTAGGAGACCACTCTCTAGCTCTCACAATACTCCCTCAAAACCCTCCTTCGATGTACCATGAATAGTCCATTTTAGTCTCCCGTTTTAATCCTCTTCTTCATCTTTGTCATCTTCCAATCTCTTATAAAGATCCCCACTCTAATGTGCTCAAGCGACACTCCTGATTCAATTGAATTTCTATTTTGTAGCTATGAGAAACTCCACATGAGCAAAAACTATCGTGACTCTCTATGTCAGTTTCAGCTCCAGGGTTTCAACATGATGCACCGAAGTATTACTTGATCCATGTAAAGCAATGCTGGCTATAGCACACCCAATAGGGAGGCACTTGCACCAAAATTGATGTGGGTGCAAAGATTGATGGGGTACTTTTTGAGGTGCCCAGCTTACGGTTTGCTGGTCCCAGGATGGCAAGGGCGTGCCTAGAGTTGTGCATCATGTTGAACAGACGCAGCGCACCCAATTGTGGTGCATGCGTGTCGTTGAAGCCCAATAGAGCATTGTGACCTAGGTGGCTCCCTTGAACTAATATATGAAACAAATTCCTCCTGTTTCACTCCAATATCTGCTAAGGCCTCTTTAAAGCTTCCATAAATATTTGTATCCTACAAATTTACAAAAGCGCCTAGAAAAGCAACATTATGAACAAAAACTAACGAAAATGCAAGAAAAATTCACATTTTCTATCATATATTCACACATCAAACTCCAAACAACTTACACATTTTTTGCCCTAAAGTAGTTGACCCGATCGACAATTATGCAATTATTTAAGTTCTGAAAGATGACCAGAAACTTTACCCAATTTATATTCAGTGGCTAGTGTACAAAATAACTATGTCATAAAATTAATTAATGGCTTGCACACTAGATGTACTACGCAAGTGTTGACCTCACTTTTGGTTGAGGTCTAGAAACTTCTTTAGTAGCCTAGGTCTAGCCATAAGACTTTCCTATTGACTAGTCTTAGAAAACTAGAAAAGGTACCCTCACCATTAGAAACTCAAAACTCTTTTCTTTACTCAACTTGAAGTTCCACATATTGGTCCTAACCTCTAATATTTAGTAGGTAAGATCATTATGAGGGAACTCAAGGAGAGTTCCTATAGGACTACTTGGCTTTAGGATTGACCCTGGGTGTTGATTTGGAGCTAAGGTACACTATACCCTTACCATATCTTCACAATACTCTCACAATACCTTGGCTAAGACAAATATATGGGAACCCAAAATGGGATTTCATTGGTCTATGACTCATTTAAAATGGTTCTCTACCCAATTACATTTGAAATGCCCAACTTTGCCTTTTGCACCTAGGCACTTCCAAATTACCTAATTGCCCTTGGGGCCCAAA